ACCAAAATTCGAGACGAACTTATAGAAGAATTATCAAATTTACAAAATAGTCACGATAATCGACGAAAAGAAATGGATGAAATTTATGATGAAGGTCGTCGTCGAATATTATTAGCTAGTGATGTTATTGGTATGACCACAAATGGCGCAGCTAAATTTCAAGCTCTAATTAGGTCTATTGGTCCCAGAATTATTGTTTGTGAAGAAGCTGGTGAAGTACTTGAGGCCCATATTCTTAGTGCACTAACCCCTTCAACTCAACATATAATATTGATTGGAGATCCAAAGCAGCTTCGACCGAATATCGCTACCTATTCTCTCAGAATGGATTCTACCTTGGGAAAAAATTATCAATTAGATAAATCATTATTTGAAAGATTAGTCGAAGGAGATAATGCAGCCAAAATTGGGTCAGTTCAACTTTTAACACAGAGGCGAATGAGAAAAGAAATTTCTGATTTAGTTAGAGACACTCTTTATCCAAAGTTAATTGATGGTGAAAATACTGTCAAATATCCGAATATACGTGGTGCTCAACATAATGTATACTTTATTGATCATAAGAATCCAGAAGACTCTGGCGGTGATTTTGCAATGCAATCTCACGTGAATAAATATGAAGTTGAAATGGTAGTGGGAATGGTAAAATATTTCATTAGGAATGGATACACTAAATCCGATGATATAGCCGTGCTTACTCCATATTTGGGGCAAATGATTAAACTTAGAGATGCTTTATCTAAATCATTTGAGACAATAATAGATGAAAGAGACGCACAAAAACTTGAAGAATTAGAAGAAAAAGATGATGAAGATGATGAAAATGACATTAAGGAAGGAAAAGATAATGTTAGTGGGAGCATAAGTGTTGCTTCAAGAAAATCATTGCAACAACAAATAACTTTAAGAACTGTTGATAATTTCCAAGGTGAAGAAGCAACCATAGTTATTATTTCGTTAGTTCGTAATTACTCCGGATCTGGTAAACGTGATTCTATTGGATTCCTAAAAAGTAAAAATAGGAGCAATGTTCTTTTGTCGCGTGCCAAACAAGGAATGTATCTCATTGGTAATTCCGAATTAATGGCATCAAAATCTAAAGATATGTGGACTCCTGTGATAGAATTATTACAAAAGCGAAAACAAATTGGTTCAGGTATGCCAATCGTATGTAATCGACATCCTGATTACAAGAACATCATAGATAAAGCCGAAAAGTTTAAAGAAGTTAGTCCTGATGGTGGATGTTATGAGGTACGTTCTCGTGTTGCACCATTTTAATAAGAAAATGAAATTTGTTCACAATTTTTTTTTTATTTTTAGCCTTGCAGATCGTCTCTTATTTGTGGACACGTTTGTATTTATAAGTGCCATTCAGATAATGATGATCATATTGGAATTAAATGCCCTGAGAAATGTACAAGATTATATCAACCATGTGGCCATCCATGTCCAAAATTATGTTTTGAAGATTGTGGAAGATGTGAATTTTCTATAGGTGATATTATATTACCTGGCTGTGGTCACGTATTAAAAAATGCACAATGTTGGCAAAATCAAGATAAAGACACTATCAAATGTATAACTATGGTTGAAAAACAATTAATTCATTGCGAACATTCAAAAGTAGTTCATGTAAGTAAATATTTTATACACCTGATATTGTTTTTTTTTTATGATAATTGTTTTTAATATATACGGTATTTCATATATTTAGTGTTTTGAATCCATCGATAATGCTATATGTAGAGAAAAATGTGGAAAATTGTTGGAATGTGACCATGAATGCTTAATGGAATGTTACAGATGTCAAAAACTTTCAAAACTAGAATCAAAGAACGAATCAAACGAAGAAACAAATAAAATTACCCAAGAAATTCATGGAGAATTAAATAAAATAACTCGAACAAACCATGGAAATTGTAAACATATTTGTAACAGATTATTATTCTGTGAACATATATGTAATACATATTGTCATGAAGGGAAAGCGTGCCCACCATGTAAGAACAAGTGTACTGTATCATGCATGCATACGTCATGTGATAAAGAATGTTTAGAACCTTGCGCTGTGTGCGCTGAGAAATGCTTATGGAATTGTGAGCATCAAGGAAAATGCGAATTAAGTTGTGGAGCACCTTGTCACAGATTACCTTGTAATGAAAGGTGTAATAAACAATTGGAATGTGGACATATGTGTGCTGGAGTTTGTGGAGAAAATTGTCCTTCAGAATTATTTTGCGTTATATGTGCTCCTATAAATGTTAGAAGCCAAGGTATGATTATTATTTATTTTTTAATTGCCATTAATAATATTTTATCAAAAAATTTAAGTTAATTCATTGTTATTTAATATTATCTTTATATTTTTTTATAACAAACTTCATTTAAAAACAGTGCCAGATTTAATTATGGGCGCTACATTTAGTGATATAGATTGGGATGAGGAAAGGATGATCATCCTTTCTTGTGGGCATGTATATACTATGGAAACTATGGATATGCACATGGAAATGAGAGAATATTATGAAGGCTCAGTTGAAGAGGGATGGAAATCAATCAAATTTCTTTCCTCAGCTTCATTAACAGATGCAAAAACATGCCCAGCATGTAGAATTCCAATTAAAAATGTTAAGAGATATGGAAGAATCATTAATAAATGCGTCTTGGACACACAAAACAAAAAATTCCTTACAAAATATGATAACCAATTACGAGGAATCACCAAACAAATGATATTGATTGAACTACAAATTAATAATAAGAGAAATGAATTAAAAAATAATTTAGGCAAAATACCTCATGATGATTCAAGACCAAGAGAAGTCGTATTTAAAGAACATAACTTTATAAATATTGAACTACCTGAAATTATTCCTTATGAATATTTCGAAAATATTGAAAAATATCATGGATTTGGCAATAATTGTAATACAGTTTGGCTTGTTCATGTTGGTAGATTATTAAGAAATTATAGGAAATTAACCATAATTCTTTGTGCAACAAAAAAACCACCTCATAAAAAGGCTTTTGAAGCCGCTGTCTCTAGTTTGTAAGTATAATGAGCGGTTTTTTTTAAAAAAATAATCTTCTTTTCCATTTTACTAAATCAATATTTTTTTTTTAAGATACCAAGCTAAATTAGCAAGAAATGACGCTGAGAGAGATTTAATTTCTCAGTTATCTAATCTTAATATTTCAGAAGACCTAAATACCAATGATTCAAATTATTCACCTGGCAGAGTTTTGCAAGAAACACTTTCCCAAATAGGAATTTCAGTACCAAAAGTAGATCATAGGATTTATTTAGACGCACTTTTTGAGTTAATTAATATACAAAAAATTCTTTTCCACGAAGTTTTATTTATAATTCAAGAAATTTCTAAAGTATCAAAAGTTACCAATCAAGAATCCATAAAAATTAATGAAATCTGGGAAAAATTTGCTGAATGGCTACAGCTTTCTATTTTAAAACATCTAAATGTTTTTAAGGAAGTAGCAGAATCTACTCATTATGGTAGACATCTACTTTTAGCCAATGTAGAAATATTAGAATTTGATCTTAAAATAATTCAATATCAATTAAGATATCCATCCAATGGAAGTAGTATAATTGATAAAGAACTCCGAGATAATACTATAGAAAACTGTAATAAAATTGTGGAAGGCCTTTCGGGTATACTTACAAGTGAAGGATACAATGCTGCTGAGGAGACATTTAAGAAAGGTATTCATGAGAGATTAAACAACGTGTTAAAAAGTTGCAATGATGTTAAATCTAGTGCAGAGAATCTGGGAAAACCTTTAAGCGTTGAAGAAACATTAGAAATTCATCGTGCAATGAAGACCGAATTTAAACGATCAGGTATGTAAAACATCAATCAAAATTTTTAATGCTCAAATCTTTTAAATAATTTTACCATTTATGTTTATTAGGACATTGGTTTGAATGTCCCAACGGTCACCCGGTAAATAATTGAACATATATAATTGAAATATTTATATTATAGTTATTTTTTACTTATTTTATATTTTTTTAGTATACGATTGGGGAATGTAGCGGAGCGATGGAGTTGAGTAGGTGCCCAGATTGCAATGTAGCCATTGGTGGAAGAAGCCATCAATTAACCGCCGGAAATAGAATAAATGAATATTTCGGTAATTTGTAATACTTTTCTCCGCAGAAAATTTTATTAGTTCATATTCTCGGTTTTGCGCATTTTATCTCTTTTTTTTTTTCTTTATTTATAAAAAAAATATATTGTAAATTTCACCTTTATGAAAATTTTAACGTATTCGGATTTGATAATTCCAAAAAAATTGTTTAGTCTTCATCGCAAATTAATTATCAAAATCAGGCTTATCAAAAATTTGCTGATTTTGTTCATCCGTAGGATTTTTGATAAAGTTTTAAAAAGTTAAATAAAGTTAACAATAGTAGACATCTAAAATTTTTGTCCTTAATAATTGGTTATAAAATAAATTACATAATAACAATTAATTCTCTATCACGATTATAACTTTACTCATGCATCGTAAAAAAAATCTGAACGTGAAACATTTTCCTCGGATCAACAAACACCAGAAGTAACGTTTGAATTTTTTTAATGAAAAATATTGCAAAGTTTAAATTTCATTCTTCAACAATTTCTCACATGATATTTGGTTAAACGAAAGTTTATGCATTGAACTTCATTATATACTAACCGAATTTTTTTTAATTTCCTTGGCTCCTTAATAATACGAATCTTTGAACAATGATTAGAATTTCTGACGCATAACTTCCTAAATAGTTCAAAACACGAAATTTTACTTAGCAAACAAGTTCGTTCATCTATATCAATAAATACAATTAGATTATAAAAGCTATAAGATAGATTCTCTATAAACATAAGCGCGGGATAATTTTTTTTTTTTAATAATTTGTAATCATGTCACCGTTAAATCCCATATACGCGTAAAATTTCTGAATACTTTTCTACTAGAGTTTTGGTCACACATTAATGATGAACAATGATAAATAAAGTTCTCTTAAATTGATGCATGGAAACATAAAATTTGATAATTTCCTTAGATTTAATTTCGAAATTGTAATTTTTTGTGCATGTTTACGTGATACATTACTACTGCATATGCGGACAGTTGAAAACATATCGGACACCAACCTTCCGTTAACAATATCACTGTTATCTTGTGGAAAATTTGTAGTATTTTGTCCATACCAATCCGTGACGAGTGCAACGCGACGCTCAACGATATATCTAAAAAATCTAAAATTATAGACCATTTCGTGTCATCGGAAAATACTTCTCGTGATTGGACGTAAGCTCCGAAGTACTCTCTTAAGTCATCAGAAAGTTCGACAAAAGAAGAGCTGTCTTCATATAATTGAATACCAGTATCTGCTAATATTTCATCATCAGTTCCATTGAAATCAAATAAAATTTGTGTATTGGGTCTTCAATTGGCTCTCCGGTATCGTGGTTCTAGAAATAAATAAGTAAATATTATAAAATTAATATCTCTAGCTTAAAAACTTATTTAAAGACGTAAATTACAAAAATAAAATTTACTTAGAGAGGTTCGAAATCAGGAGATTTTTGTTCTAAACCATATGAAACAGTGATTGATAGTAATCCTTTTTATTTTGCGACGCGATTTTATATGAGGTTTTCATCTAACGAACCCAATCACATATCTAAAAAGTTAAAAATATAAGTATCATTTTCTCAAGAACGGGATAACATTACGAACCTTCAATTTAGCCATGATCAATGTATTTTGTAAGAAGGTTCGCGCATTGTCATATTTTGCTTTCTGTTTCTTTAAATCTTTATTAACATTAGATAAGGTTTTGCATCATTAAACATTGGCCAAGGAATCCTCCTTTGTACATCCTTGAAATAAAGTTATCTTTACCCCCCTAAAAAAAAATTTAAAAATAAATAAAGCCGTAACAAAAACCCTTTGAAGATTATATAATAAAATGTACCTCAGAAACCAATTGAGAAATTTTTGGCTGAAATTCCCTAACAATGTCTTCTTGTCGGCCTTAGGCACGTCTTTTATGATAATACAAAGCCTTGTCTAAATAATTAAAATATTAAATAAATTCGACTTTCTCCGTCACATTTGGATTATATATAAATAATATTTGAATTGTACCTGAAATATTTTTGGATCTGGATCAAATAACATTGCGCCATCTTGAAATCTTTGAAAGATTGAAGAAATATACTTATTTATGTTAAATTGATTCTGTTTTTGAAAATAATAATTTCCATTCATTAGTAAATATGTAAAGAAAGTAGTAGTAAGATAATATAATATCAATCACCTTAAAAGAGTATAAGATTTGATATCACCGTATGGAAAAGTGTTAAAAACATATCTAAAGATTAATTGGATATATTAATATAATGAATAGTCTGAAATGAAAAATAATAAGTTTTTGTATTTTTACCTTCTTGAGAAGAAACAACCTTTCAAAATTAAGTTGTAACATAAATGTGTTAAATGTTTAAAGAGATTGAGAGTTTAATTAATTAATCATAACTTAATATAATGCAATTTACCTAATGACATCCATACTCCATCAACGCAACGCTGAATTAAAAATTTATAAATTAGTTTTTTTAAAAAAAAAAAAAGTAACAGGGAGATATTACTAATTACCATTGCGGAGCCATCGAAGGATTTTCCGCACGATTGTTCACCCATACTAGAAACAACTTTTACTTTTAATACTTAAATATTCCTTCATGCCATCCAAAAGAAATATTCTTTGCTATGCTATCCACATGATGACCAGAACCATCATCATGTTCCATATCATTTGAAGACAATCCATCCTTAAGAGGTTGAAATAAATTATTTCTTGCTATCGCAATTTGTATAGGAATTAAACAACTAAGTTGAATGATCCATTCTCCTAATTTGTAATTTTGATGAATATCTCGTCAAATGCTCAATATGAAGCTCTTAGAAAGTTATGACAGATGTGGAAAATCTCTTTAATATTGAGGTAGGATCTTTTTTAGTACGTTTCAAACCTTCAAAAGTTTCAGTAATGTAACCCTCAAATTTCTCGCAATAATTTTCGATTTCTTCATCCTCAATATCGAGAACGATTTTTCAAATTTATAAAACGATCTTGCTCGGGATCAACTGGATATTTCTCAAACATCAATCTATAGTTATCGATGAGACCATTTAGTTTTGTTTTCGGTTCAATACAGAATTCAGTCCAACTATTAAATTTGCACGTAGGTTTAAAATGCCGGTAACTCTTAACATTGTATCCAAAATAACATCTATCACATTGAATCTTTCACCCATTAACACAATATATTCTCCTTTTTGAACTTTTGATCAGATTAAAATGAGTATTCCTTCCTTCAATATGAGCATAATTGTTATGAGAATCAATTAACGAGTGTCTGTTTTTGCTTTTGAAAACGATATTGAGTTTTCGAGCGCAATTTTAACTATTGATGAGCTGAAACGTTCATTTTTCAAATCAAGTGACATCGAGTGGGTTTGTAGTCTATTTATAAAACTAAATTGTTGGAACACCAAGGATTGAAGAGTAGGCGGCAAGTTAATAACTATTCAAAACGAGAGAGTTAGTTTATTTTTTTATATATCTTATATAAGCTAAAGATGATATGAAAATTTTTAATTACCTTTATAGTTGGAGTATCCAATCGTTGAAAAAAATAAACATAAGCACGACATATTTCTTTAGCTTTGTTAGTAAGCGCATCCGTGCCATCATCTTCGCTATCGGTATATTCACTATCCAGCGTAAGGTGTTTTAGGTCCTGAATTTTCTCTTACGAATGCTACAATACATGAGCCATCGGGAGAACTTAAAATTTTTGCGGCATCAGATGGAAGGTCACAAGTAATTGGTCGAAATTGTTGATTGATAAGATTGAGTATACACGTTCGCCTCTTTCAACAAAGCAAAGTTCTTCGATACTATTGATGAATAAGAAGTGTTGAAATGGTGTTTCTAATAATATCAGGTTAATATTTTATTAATTCATAATATTAATAATCAATTTACAAATTTTCAAAATATTATGCGGGGGAGGGCATCAATAAAAAAGTAGCGTCACTTATATTCTCAAGCACCATCAAGAATATCCTCATAGTTAATATGAGTTATTTTGCTAATATAATTGAATTCGTGTCAGTTAAAGTTTGGTAAAATTTTGTATGAAAGTGAAAGTGTAGTTATAATTGAAATATAAATGGTAATAAAGAAAGTAAATATAAAGTAATAAAGTTATAAATTGAAGAATCAATTAAACGAGAAATATAACTGTTTAAATATTTACAATTTTTATTGCTCCGCTATTATGTTTTAAAAATTTAAAGAATGATTCCGCTATCCACTGGTGTGTAAAAAAATTAATTATAAAAATTGCTACCGCTAACATGTAAATATGTTTTTTAACAAAGTAACAATTATTCTACTTCTACTACGGTATAAAAATTGTCTCCATGATACAAAGTATAAAAAAATATATACTTTTTTAAAATCATCAGTCATTTGTATATTTAATCACGTGAATATGACAATTTAAAGGGATGTGAAATTAAATAATTATAACTTCTTATGAGTATTGTCGTTGTGGGATAGTGCGTGAGATTTCCTAGCCAGTCATCCTCGGGTACGACTCCCACAACGTGCAATATTGGGTGCTGTTATGACAACAAGTTTCTAATAAGGTGAATGAATGATTTTCATTCATTCCATGGGATGTTGATGATCCTATCCACCCATGTTATGATAGATGTTCCGGCCAAAGGTTCCCATGTTGGATCAGGGTTTGTTGTCGACTTTGTGGGGTCTAGGTGGTAGTTGGCTATATCAACTATGTGCCCAATTTCCCCAGAGCGTGGGAGTAAGCGTTAACTACCCTGGTTCATACCTAGAGGCAAGATGTCATCAGCAGTTATTCAATTCCACTCAATATTCTTTTTTTATTTTATACTATTTACTATTAAAATTAAAATATTTATTTATATTTATTATACAATGCCTTAAAGTAGTATCACGACGGAGTTATTGTTTCTTGAAATTTCTGAAATAAGATTATTAGGCTATAGCGAAATAATATTTTAAAAAAAATAATTGAAATTCTTTATTGAATAGTAAAATAATGCGCTATCTTGAAATCTTTTACATTAAAGGAAACTCTCTGTATTAAATTAATAGTGAATAAATAAAGAGAAAAAGGAAATTCATTGTAATGTAATAAATAAATGAGTATAAAAAGATTTAAAAAAAAATTCTTTGCGTCATATCTTTACATTGTAAACGTTTACAGGATTATTTTTTTTAGTTTAATTTTTTTTTTCTACTTTTGATCGACGTGATTTTTTTTTACCGGTTTATTTGTAAATATTCTTTCTTTTTACGTTTTGTTAGTTTCGTTTTCAGGTTCGATCGTTTTTCCAATGTATCGAATATCCTTTAGCTTAGTGTTTTAGGCGAAGAAACCCATTGGAAGAAATTTCTTACAGTGATCTTTGTTTTACTTATGGATTATGAGATAAATAAATGATACGATATAATTACCATCTCGAACACAAAAACATATGGAAATTGCCACTGGTTCCATTCCAAAAGTTTACCTGTCGCTCTAACACCATGCTCAAATTTTGGAATAAATCCTGCATTCCATTTTACTGGATCTGAAGACTTCGATCTATACCAAACGCTATCCATTCGTTTTCCATTTCTTTGATGGCAACGTTGTAGTTTAATAATTTAATTCACACAGTAAATTAAATTGGAATTTTAATATACAAAATCCACTCATGCTCTTCGTAATGGAGGCTGGTCGAATTTGGAATGTAAAATTAGCGTTAGGAGATTTGATATATAATTTCATTCAGCCGAAAGCTTGGTATAGGTGATTTATTGCTTATTATATTCTACATTCTGCCCTAACGCCTGAGTCACGAACCATTACTTGTTATGAATATGAATGTTTGACGTATAAAAATAGATGTTATAACTTTAGGTTTTTAAAAAAGAAAAGATTTTCTGTTGTTTTAAGATTTAAATTTATTTCTGAGTTTTGTAATTAGGATACCTCCAGAACTGATTTTTTTGTTTTAAAATTTAAATTCATGAAGTGGGCTCGTATAGTACTCAATTAAGAAACGTTGTTGGTCATTATTATTTAACTTCTAAAATAATGAGAAAATTGAAAAATTAAATCGAGAATTCTTGTTCTTAATATGAATATAACGGTAATCACACAGAAAACTTCTAAATGTAACGAAAATATACAAAACTGCAACATTAGATTAATGTATGATTTCAGTACGTATTTTAGAAAAACTTGTGGAAATCATATTCTTCAGTTATTCCTTGATCCTTTTAACATTGACTTGAATGTTAAGAAAATGTGATCTTATAAAAAATCTTTAAGATAAATTACAAATAGTCATATGATAAATGAATGATTTTACTACGTTGAATATATTCTTTATTGTTCATTTCATTAAAGAAGTAAATGAGATATAATGTTTATAGTTATCATTACGAATCATTTTCATAATGAAGTAAAATGAAGTTTTTATTTAAAATACAAAAATGAAAAATAAAATCCAACTTGAAACCAACGTACAAATAAAACAACTAATAAAGATGTAATTCATTACTCCGCGTTTTTCATCAAGTCTAACAGGCTTTTTCTCATAATAATCTTTCCTTTCATTCTTCCTCATATCCATTACACCATCGCACCAATTTTTTGACACAAAGAATAAGCTGATAGTTACTATTATAGCTATTATACTA